GGGTACATCTGTCCCGTTTTCTGCAGCTGACAAACGGGTTCAAGCTGAACGGTGTTCCCGATGATGCGATCCGCCTTCATCTCTTCCCCCATTCTCTGGCGGGGAATGCTAAGAGGTGGTTGGAGACCCAGCCCCCATTGTCCATCACCTCTTGGGACGATCTGGCGGACAAGTTCGTGCACAGGTACTATCCGGCATCGAAGACTACAGAGATTCAGCGGGAGATCACTCACTTCCGCCAGGAGCCAGATGAGTCACTCCGTGATGCTTGGGAGCGGTACATGGGCTACTTCTGGCAGTGCCCCCACCATGGCTTTAGTGATGCTTTCACTGTGGGGAACTTCTACAGCGCTCTCTCCCCAGATAGCCAGAGGGTGATTGAGTCTTTATGCCCAGGAGGGGATATTCTTACCAAGACTCCACCCGAGCTGAACCAGATGATCAGTACTTTGACTGCCAGAGATCATTCTTGGGGACAGGGTAGCCGAGGCAGACAGTCCCAGGACCGTGGTGTGCACGCCATGGAGACCAGATCCGGGCTCGAGCAGCAGGTAGCTGAGCTAGTGCAGACATTGAAGCAGCCTAACAGTCTGATTACGGGCAGAGGTTTGGCTACACCTCCAGTAGCTCAATGTCAGTGGTGTGAGAGCTCCAATCACCTAGTGGAGGACTGCCAGGCTATGAGGGAGTCTACCACACCCCAGGAGCAGTTGGCCTTCATCGCCAATGCGAGGCGCCTCGATCCATATAGTAGCACATATAATGAGGGGTGGCGCCAGCATCCCAACTTCGCCTGGAGCAGCAACACCACTAAACCACCTGGTTTCCCAGCACCAGCAGGTGGTTTTCAGCAGAGGCAGCCCTTCCAGGCTCGCCAGGGGCCAGACCCACAGCAGCAGCCCTACCAGCCTAGGCAGGGGCAGCCATTCCAGCAGCCCCAGCGCCAGTTTGCCGAGCCAGCAGCAGCTCCAGCCCCAGATGACAGGATGACGAAGCTGGAAAACATTCTAGCTTCATTCATGACGAGCACTCAGGCGACTATCACGGGGTTGGACCAGAGTGTAGCCTCACTGGAGGCAGGTCAGAGGAACCAGGGTGCCATTTTGCAGGATCTGCAGACCCAGGTGGGCATCTTGGCCCGCCAAAACACTACCAGGGAACTGGGGACTCTGCCTGCCACCACTGTTCCGAATCCTAGAGATCCTCACCAGCATCAGCAACTGGATGCCATTTTTACCAGGAGCGGTAAGACCATATCTGCTGATCCTGTCCCGGCCAGACAGGAGGAACCACTGCCTGCTTCAGCACTTCCAGCCGACGATGTAGAAGTGCGGGTGGAGAAAGAAGCCCCTGCTCCCAAGCCACAACCAGTGGTTAAGGAGCATGTACCCCAGCTTCCCTTCCCCACTCGCCTACACAAGGACAAGCTGGAGACTGAGTTTGCCAAGTTCATGGCAATGTTGAAGCAGCTCAATATCAGCATACCGTTCATGGAGGCACTGTCGAAGATGCCCAAGTATGCCAAGTTCATGAAAGATATCTACACCAACAAGAAGAAACTTGGGGATCTCTCGACAGTGATGCTGAGCGAGGAGTGTTCTGCCATCCTGCAGAACAAGCTGCCCGAGAAGCGCAAGGATCTAGGGAGTTTTACTATCCCTCTTACTATTGGCAGCATGCATGTAGGCAAGTCCTTGGCGGACCTAGGCGCTAGCATTAACGTCATGCCATATAAGTTGTATAAAATGCTAGACCTAGGTGAACTTAGCCCTACTAGGATGAGCATTCAATTAGCTGATCGTTCTATTGTGCATCCTAGGGGAATCATAGAGGATCTGCTTGTTGGTGTTGGTGCATTCACATATCCTGTTGATTTTGTTATTCTTGATATACATGAGGATGTGGATGTGCCTTTGATTCTAGGTAGGCCATTTCTTGCCACCGCCAAGGCACTTATTGATGTGCATGATGGTAAATTGATCTTGCGTGCTGGGAATGAACATGCTACTTTTTCTTTGACTGAGTTTGATCACTGTGCTATGATTGCTGTCACGCCTGTGCATGCCATTTCTGATCAGGTACACGAGTTTGTCGTGTACCCTTCTGCACCTCCTATTTTGCAGGACCCTCCTATCATTCCTTCGCCGCCACTCCATCTAGCCTCACCTCTGAACAAAAAGCTCAAGGAGGAGTGGCGGCCGAAGCAGCAGGTTGCTAAGCCTGCACGGAAGAAGAGTGGAGACCACTATGAGCTGGTCCCACCTCCTGCACCACGAACACCCTGGCCGTCTGGGTACTCGCTCTCCTGCATCTTGCCAGATGGACAGGTCGAGCTGACTGATGAGGGTGGTCGCATCCGTCGGGTGCATGGCCACAACCTGAAGCTGTACCTCAAGAGCGAAGTGGATCCGCTCTTGGAGGCACCTGTTCCTGCACCGCCCTGAGAATCCACCATGGGCGTCCAGCTAAAAGACGGTAAAGAAGCGCTTGTGGGGAGGCAACCCCACCACGGTTTGATTTTCTTTCTTGTGTTTTGAGTCGGATTGTAACCCGGTTTGGGTTGGTTTGTTTTTCTTTTGGTTTGGATGATGTTTTATTGGGCTGACCATTGGACCTAACATACTGTGTTTGAGCTCTTTGGTTTCCTTCGGCTGTGCTTGCCCCGACTGGCCCCCTTCCAGTCCCCTGCAGTCCGTGCATACCGGTAACATCTTTCCCTTATCCTTCCCTCTTCTCCATTGAGGGCAATGTCGATCTTAAGTGTGGGGGGGATGTTTATCTTTTGACTGCATTAGATCTGTTTGTGTGCTTGGAGCCTAGTCCACTGTCCAAATTTTTAAATTTGAGGGCTCCAAGTACGTGTTTCCTTGCAATTGCCTGCTCAGTATGCTTTGAATTGACAGTCTTTATAGTAATATGCAACCTAGGGAGGTAGTGTAGCACTATGGAGGATGTTGATGCATTTAAGAAGTCTCATTTCTTCTTCATATTGTGTTGGTTGATTGAGTGAATTAGTGATCTTAGGACCCTTGAATTGTGTGGTGTTGTGGATTCTCTGCCTGTCATGGACTCTTGTATCATGTTTTGAAAATAACAGGTGCTCGAAAATGTGCTGAAAAATAACGTCTCCCGTGCGAATAGGGCGAAAGTGTGTAAGGGGAGACGGGAATTCGTTCCCAATTTCCACCTACTACCTCCAGCCCCCTTACATGTCTTTCCCCCGCACGAGGCTCGAGACATCCGCTCCTGGCATGGCCGGTAAGAGCAGGTTGGGACCCTTGAAAAGAAAAGAAAAGAAAAAAATAACAGAAAACAAGCAAAACAGAAAGAAACGGGGTTCCAACCATCTTCAAAGAAAATAGAGCACCTTGAAAAATGTGAGTCCATGATCCTTTGTTTTTGAGAATCTCTTCATCCACGATTCATTTGTCCTCTGTTCACTATTTGCCATGATACCGACTCGAGAAGAAGTTATGAGATGACTTGTGCGTCGGTTGACCTCGTAAGCTGCTAAATTATCTAGGAAGTCCTCTACCTACGATCTAGGTTGTTTGTTGCTATAGAGGTCTGGAGAGTTGCATTGGTTTGAGTTAGGTTTGCTTGGGGACAAGCAAACGGTTAAGTGTGGGGGAGTTTGATAGACCGTTAGTTACACATGTTTTCACCCCTGTTCTTACACCGTTGGAGATGTGGTTTCTCGTATTTTAGACCGATTTCACGCTAGGTTGTGCTTGTTTGTGATATTTCAGGTCCTGGCAAGTGAATGAAGGTTTAGGAGCGAGTTCGGGGTCGATTGGGCGAAGATCGGGCGCGAGGCAAGTCACAAAAGAGGTCACACGGGCTGCCCTGATGTTCACACGGCCGTGTGAAGGAATGGCCTGGCCGTGCGAGTTTTGCCGAGAGCACACACGGGCAGAGCAGACAATCCACACGGCCGTGCAAGTGGCCGGGTTGGCCGTGCCACATTCTGCGAGAGCAAACACGGGTAGGAAGGAGAGTTCACACGGCCGTGCCATTCTGGCCGTGCAAAGAGCCTTGAATTCAACTAAGTGATACGCTGCGTTTTGACTCACACGGGCAACTGGGTGAGCTGCACGGCCGTGCCACCCTGGCCGTGTGAGTCGGGATTTTCTCCTTTTAAGCAGAATTTCAGCCACAATTCAGGGGGATTCGAGTTTTTGAGAGAGAGATCAGTTCCTAGAGAGAGAAAGTGACGAGCAAGAGTTCCCAAGTGCCCTAGATTGATCTTCAACACCATTGGAGGCCAGCTTGAGCTTGGAGAAGTGCCAATCAACGTCCAGAAGCAGGAATCCATCCTTCGCAGTATGAATTCCGTGTCTGATTCTGCTTTTGCTTTCTTCTCCATGGAGTAGTTCTCCCATTCATCTGGGTATGGAGAACCCTAGATTTGTATGTTAGGCTTTGATTGTATGAACCCAAGTACTGATTCTATGATTGATTATATTCGATTGAGGTTTTAATGATTGAATGACTTGAATCCTGATCAAATTCCTGTTGTTTCTGCTTTGACCTAGAATGAGAATATCTGCCTGGGTTAATAGAGTATCCTTGATTGAAGGTAGGGAGTTGGTGACTTTAGTCGAGGAGCCAACTCACTATTCTGTACCGGATTTACTCCGGTAGTGGAGGTTTTGTTCTTAGGGCCTCAATCTGTCGACTCCGGTGGAGGTTAGTCGCCCGCTAGAGAGTCAGATTGAGAGGGTCTGAAGACCTTTAGTCGAGACTTCAGGCTGTTTAAGAACCTTCCGCAGTATAACTGTCATAGAAACTGAACTTGGTAATTACAATCCGGCTTAACTGCAGTCTAGGGGGAACCATATCCGGGTGACCTCTTTAACTTGAATACAACCGTTTACTTGCTTTGTTAGTTTGTTAGTTAGACTTGCATTCCAGTTTCATTGCTAGATAACAAGAATTCACTGAGTAGTCATCAGATCTAGGACCCGGGTTGATAATTAAACCTAAACCCGCTATACTACGCTTTAGGAAGTGGTTACACTTGGCCAATTCCTGGAGTGACAGTAGAGTCGAGTCAGGAGCCAAAGAGCAAATTAGAGCTCATGGTGGAGCGATTCGCCGGGGGTACCGATGAAGGGTGCTCTAGCAAGGACCTCCCAATCGCCAACCCTATCGACTCAACCTTTCTTCAGGAGGCGGAGGAGCTTCGTCGATGCACGGAGAGGCTAGGAGGGCTTGTAGAGCAAGCATGTGCACAACTTGCTCACAATCGCCTCCCTCCATTGGAAGAGAGAGAGGAAGTCGAAGAGGCGTGCCATGATGATTTTGGAAGAACAAGTTCCGACATGGATTTCCAACCACTCCCTCCTCCGGGTTTGACACTAGAAGAGAAAGTGGCACGAGGTTGTGAAAGCTATCGCCTCTCATTATTGGAGGTTGAAGGGGAGTTCAATGACAACCGTGTGGAGCATGAAAAACTCACCCCGGATAACTCCCATGGTGAGGATGAACAAGAAGGTTGCATTGATGACTCCCATCACTTTCCCCTTCCCGAAAGCAACTTTGAAGACCAAGACACGAGTGAGGAGGGGAAAGAGAATCCTTTCTATGATCTTGCATGGCACCTTGCACTCCAAACCGTGCTTGAAGACATGAAAGAGAAGGAGAAAGAAGAGGTTGAAGAGGGGGAAGATCTCGAGTGTTCCCAAGGGGATGAAATTGAAGAAGAAGGAAGGGAGGTTGAATTTGAAGTAAAAGTAGCAAGTGACGCCCAAGATGAGGACGAGGTCGGGGTGGATGAAGCATCCACAAGTTACGAGGGCTATGAAAGCTTTCCACCCGACCTCGACGCGCTTTTGGAGAAGGACCCATTTGCGGCTCTTTGCCAAGCCAAGGCCAAACCATCGACGATCCCTCTTGGTGGATGAGATGGAAACCAATCGATTTTTCACGACATGGTATGGGGAAAAGAGAAAAAAATAAGAAGGAAAGAAGAAGAGGTCTCGTGGGTGGAGCCTCAAAGCCACTCAAGTTTACGAGCCCTCAATCATGGACTCTTCCAATTCTCGTGACTTGAGACATTACCTCGCAGACGAGACCCTTAACTTCAAGGAGGTTATTGGGTGGACCGAAACTTGAGGAGCAACCGTCCGGCTCACGAAGTTAAAGAAGCGGTTAGTGGGAGGCAACCCATCTACCGTCGGCCGCAGCTGTTGAATCGCCGTAGTTGTTTTCGTGACTGCGCTTGTGGGACTTGCTGTTGAATCGCCGCAGAGAAATTGGAGTCGTTCGAGGAAGGGGATGACGGTGAAGACGAAGAGGTAGTAGTAGTAGAAGAAGTAGAGTAGGAAGAATAAGAAATATGGTCGATTTGAGTTTTAGAGTCAGAGCAGTCCTGATTAGTTGTTTCCATGGCGGAAGAACAGAGTAGAGAGAGATAGAGATATATTCGTGAGAGTGCTAGAAAAGGGGAAGGGAAGGAAAGGAGAGAGGCTAGTGCTTGGAGAAGAAGGAACTGAAAGGTTCTTGTTACACTTCCTTTAAGCTGTGAGGTGTGTGTCTATATATATTTAATTTAATGAACTTTAACACAAATTATGAGGGGAAAAACAGAGTGAAGAACAAAAGGGAAAAGAAAAAAAAAAAGAGTTCTTTAACGTCCTTGAAGTCATGATAGCAAATACACTTTTGTTGTTGCTCATACAAGTTCTATTACACTTTTCTCTACACAAATTGACAGCTTCACATCACAAGTGGTTTAAAATAATTATTACTAGAGAAATAAAAAAATAAAAAAAGAGATGACTTCATAACTTGATCAACCCCTCTACCATCGTAAAATTATCCATGAGTGGGTAATTGCCATCCCTAGCAATCTCTTTGCCATCCTCCTTTGATTTGGGGAACCGATCAGGTCAGTAACCCAATGGTTAGTAACCATGAGTAACTTGTCCACATGAGCATGACATCAATTAGGGGTGTACATGGGTTGGGTGGTCCGGGTTTAGACATTTTAATCACCCGACCCATGCACTACCGTTTGGGAAATATTAAACCCAAACCCAACCAAAAAAATCTAAACCCTACGGTTTGTTTCTAATTGGGTTGGGTCGGGTCGGGTTGACAATATTCTTAAGTAAAAACCCAACCCAACCCAACACAAAATATGTAATTATTCTACACCATAAAAATATTTTATAACTAATTAAAAATTCAAAAGAATAAACCGAGGTGAAAGGTATCAAAATACACAAATGTTGTTTGAATTATAATAAAATTTGATTTACTTCAACTTATGTCTACGTTTTTTCACGACATTTGTTGAAACAGGCTAAAAAGGTTACAATTGAACGCATCCATAATATGTTATTCTATTAAAATTGTACACAAGAAAAAGAATTATGTGAATCATAGCTATATTAAATTTATGTCTAAACTTTAAGCTGAAAAATGCATTAGATAAGGGGACCTCAAGAGAAAAACATGGCGAAATATCTTAATTTTCTCATATGTATGGCTATATACGACATAAATATTTTTTTGGATACGAAATCATACCAATAATTGGAATACGGGTTGGGTCGGGTTCTTCGGGTTGTGTAATCCAAAATTCAAATCCAACCCAAAAGAGGCGGGTTGTACAAAAGAAAATCCTCACCCAACCCAAAACCTTCATTTTAGCGATAAATACGGGTGGGTTGGATCGGGTTGGATGGATGGGTCGGTTTGTGGGTGTGTTTGTTCACCCCTAACATCAGTATATTCTCTCTCTTGGAAAGTTTTTTATCTATTCGCCTTTAATTTTTAACAGACGATTTCTCTCTCGTTTTAAGTCAAAATTTAATTTTTTTGCACAAATAAATCAGATTAAATTTGCTCTTTAAAATGATATCCACTTTGATATATTTTTAGTGCAAAAAAAAAAAAATTTGAATAATTGTTTTACAAGTCATTACCATATGTTATGCTCCTATTTAATACCATATGGTAAGAAAGCGTACCATGTATAGGTGTCAATCGGGCGGGTTCGGGCTGGGCTCAATCGGGTTCGGGTTCAAACGGGTTGCGGGTTAGTCGGGTTGCGGGTTAATCGGGTTCGGGTTCATCGGGTTCGGGTTCAAACGGGTTGCGGGTTAGTCGGGTTGCAGGTTCATCGGGCTCGGATTCAATCGGGATGCGGGCAAATCGGGTTGCGGGTTCATCGGGTTTTGGGTCGGGCGGGTTGCGGGGGGGGGGGGGGGGGGGGGGGTCGGGTTTCGGGTTGTTCGGGCCAGCGCATCAAGTAACTTAACTCATTACTCATTACCAACTTACACATTTTATTACACTAATTTAAAATATTTACTCAACCTTTTAACCAATTTATTTCTACCTCGTATATATATACTTTATTTTTTTGAAAAAAACTAGTCAAAATGTTAAATCAATTTGTATGACTTGCAAACTTGTTATGTAATTAATCATAATTGGTAAAGTATTATAGCTAATAGTAATGGTGATATCAATATTTTCAACCAAAAGACACCGTTAATTGTTTATTTTATATTTTAGTATTAATTCATTAGTAATTGGATTAAAGTATCTCGTTTAGTATAACCATGCAAATTAGGTATTTGGCGTGTGGTATTTGGCAAAAGCATAGTGATAAAAGGAGTTATTTCAAAATAACTCATTGCCGAAATAACTTTAGTAAACTGTTGCCAAACGAGTTATTTGTAAAATTGTTCGAATTATCCTAAAAATTGAACCACATACCTTGTACCCTAACAACGTACCATAAATATAAATTAAAAAGGGATCTCCTGCCGTTAAAGACTTCAAATGACTTCAAGTGAACATATGTTAATAAAAAACTTAGAACCGTCAAAACCATCAATATCTTATACCCTAACCATATACACCATAAACCATATGTACCTTATACCTTATACCCTAACCATATACTTTATATCCTAAACAACGAACCGTCAAAGATTACTTATCAAGTTTAGTATAAATTGTTGTAACTAATGGTTATTTTATTTATTAGCCCATAAAAATTTATATACATATATACATATTAGCCTTCAAAGCATATAAGAATAGTTTTAAGTTTTAACTAGTCATACTCTCCATATAAAAGTTAAAGATTCATATTTCAAAAGTTAAAATTATGAAAAACCAAAAAATTGAAAACACCAAATTTGTTTCCTTCTTTCTTTTCACAAAAATACTAAAATTTCCCTCATTTTTCTCCTTCCATACATTAGAAAAACTCAATTTTCCCTCCTCTTTCTCTTCCATAAAATTGAAAGAACCAAATTACCCTCTTCTTTTCTTCTACAAAAAGTTGAAAAGTCAAAAGTTTTCCTCCTTATTTCTTTTTCATAATCAAAAGAATCAAACTTTCCCACTTCTTTCTCTTCCCACATATCAAAACCACCAAAATTTCCACTTGTTTCTTTTCTAAAAAATTCAAAGAACCAAATTTCCCTCTTCTTTCTCTTCCCAAAACCTTAAATACACCAAAATTTCTCTCTTCTTTTAAAAACATCAAATTACCAAATACATTACTTTACTTTATTTAAATTTTAATTGATAATTTTATTGAATAGTTAAATTAACCAAAATTTTAATTTATATATTATATTAATATTGTCATGATCTCAAGTGACCTTCATGTTTCAATTTTCTTAAAATACGTAATATCAAGTGAGTTTCATATTTTTAAAATTTCTTATACGAAATGAAAAAATAATTTTACTTAAGTTTAGAATGAAAAACTTTATTTTGAAAAACTATGTATTGTATTTTTATAATTATTCAAGTGGATTAGATGAAATTCGGGTTGAGTCGGTCGGGTTACGGGTTAGTCGGGTTCGGGTCAATCGGGTTCGGGTTAATCGGGTTGCGGGTCAGTCAGGTTGCGGGTTAATCGGGTTCGGGTTAATCGGGTTGCGTGTTAGTCGGGTTGCGGGTTAGTTGGATTGCGGGTCAATCGGGTTGCGGGCCGGGCGGGTTACGGGTTGTTGAATTTTAGTCAATTCGGGTTGCGATCGGGTTGCGGGTCGAGTTGATCGGGCGGGTTAATCGGGTCGGGCTATATTTTTACACCTATAGTACCATGATGGTATGAACATACCAAAATGGTAAGAAGGTTGAATACATGATAGTAGGAGTATACTAACTGTCATTTACGACTTTCATCATTGTTTACTACAAGTTACCACAAATCACCACCCACATACCATAGTGGTAAAGTATGGTAATTTGTGATCCAATATTTTTTTCACGCAGAAATTTATTGATCCAATTGATCATGATGAACTCGTTTCTTCTGAGCAAACGTTTTAAAAAACGACTTAAAAACGAAGAAGTTATCATATGGTATGCAGTTGGTAAAAAAAAGTTTCACGAAATATATTGAAAATTGATCTCATTTTGTAGAGAACAACAAACTCTTTCCATCTGTGCAATAAAAATTGAAATCCGAGTTAGAACGAAGAAAATAAGAGCCGATTAAGAAAACTAGGAAAAATAAAATATCTTTAATTGACAACTTTTGAATCTGAATTTTCTGGACCCACTTAAATCTAAAAGGCCCAGATTTAGTTACTCAAAGGTCAGTAACCAATGGTTACTGACCCTATCGCCTATCCTAAAACTTTGATTTGCATCTATCTAGGATGAAAGAATAAGAGGGTTACTATTTGCCGCCCGTCTCTTTACTATTTGCCGCCCGTAAAATAAACTAAAATGACATTTTTACTCTTTGTTCATTTTTTATAAAACAAACCCCACTACCCCGCCAGTCCTACTGCCGCCGGCGCCAGTCCACCACCGCCGCCAAATTACCGGCGTCGCCACCACCGCCAAATCACCAGCACGGCCAGCACCAAATCATCACAGCCAGCGGGCGGGCCCCGTCCGACGCCGGCAGGAGGACCCCGCACTACTCCGGCGGGAGGACCCCGCACGACTCCGGCGGGAGGACCCCGTCCGACTCCGGCGGGAGGACCCCGTCCGACTCCGGCGGGAGGACCCCGTCCGACGCCGGCGAGCGGACCGTGCATTAGCGACGGTTTCAAAACCGTCACAAAATTCGTCGCTAAATGATAATAATTATTTAACTCAATCTTCTATTTTTTTAATTATTATATCATGTTAATAATTATATATATGTTTATTAATTATATTTATGAATTAGAAAAACTAAAAATTATTTATAAGAAAAAAATTTAATTATAAAAAATATTGTACAAACTAATTCATACTTATTTTATAATTATGTAAATAGAGCTAAAATAAATAAATTCAGTATAATAGCAATTAAATAATTATAGTATGTTAAATAATTACAAATTATCTGAAGTAGTGTATAAGAGAATGGATATTTAATCATAAATTATCATAAATATTGTATAAACTTATGAATAATTTATTTTAATTATGTAGAATAGTTATAAAATATTTATAAATTTTGATTAAACCTTTTTAATTGTATTTATTTCATATTTAATAAGATCATCGTACCTAAATTATGTTTTATAAAACTTCCAAGGAATCGAGGCACGAAGAGGACTCTTTGCGGCTCGGGGAAGGTCGGTCAAAAACATCTTTTAGCAATTACTAGAGTCACCGACATAAAAAAATATTGCAACTTTCATTGATCTCTTAAAATGTGGATACAAATGTGAATAGTGCCAAAACTTTCATCGAGGTGTTTTTAGGGCTCTGGGGTGGTAACTAGGAGTTTCTTGAGCCTATCACATATATTTCCACGAGACGAAATATTATTGTTAGTGGAGGAAGAGATGATTTTGCCTCTAAAATAATTTCCTAGTAGGATTGGATGGATCGAGGTTGAAGGTAGCTATTCAAGAGGAATGAGGGTTTAGGGTTTTAGAGGAGTATAAGGTATAGGAGGTGGATGAGATGCTTTCCTTCTTTATTGTCATTATTGGTCCAGTTGAGTCGAGTTGATTCTTATTGTTGTTATCCGTCATCTTGGGTGAGATTATTTCAATTGTGGTCAAACCCTAATTAAGTCAAACCCTAATTCGGGTCAAACCCTAATTAAGTCAAACAGTAATTTCCTCAAACAATTGTGGTCAAAATAATATATAATTTAGTCAAACCATAATTCGGGTCAAGCCCTAATTAAGTCAAACCCTAATTCCCTCAACCAACTGTGGTCAAATAATATATAATTAAGTCAAACCCTAATTCGGGTCAAACTCTAATTAAGTCAAACCCTAATTCCCTCAAACAACTGTGGTCAAAATAATATATAATTTTGTGAAACGCTAATTCGGGTCAAGCCCTAATTAAGTCAAACCCTAATTCCCTCAACCAACTGTGGTCAAATAATATATAATTAATCAAACCCTAATTTGGGTCAAACCCTAATTAAGTCAAACCCTAATTCCCTCAACCGGGCGGACGGGGTGGGAGCTGACCGAGCGGACGGGGTCCGACTAGACTAGGCGGACGGGGTCCGCTCCGGCCAGTCGGACCGCGTCCGCTCCGGTCGGACGGCGACTGAAAAAAAAAATTAAAAAAAATCCGTCCGCCGAGCTTGAGATGTTGGCGGCGGCGAGAGCGAGCGAGGAAGACTCGATTTGCGGCGGTGGCGCTGTTGTGGCGTCCTCTTCGGCGACAACTTCTGTGCTCGGCAGGAGGGAGGTGTGGTCGGCAGCGGGGGAGGTTGGCAGGAGGGAGGAGTAGACGGCGGAGGTTGGCAAGAGGGAGGAGTCGGCGGCGGCGGGACGTCCGGTAGGAGGAGGGTCGTCGTCGGCGGGAGGTCGGCAGGAGAAGGGAGAGTTGAAGGGGGGTGGCGACAGATGGGTTGAGGGTGGGATAGGGTTAGGGGCAAAATTGTCTTTTTTTCTAACTATGGGCGGCAAATAGTAAAACTGCGGGCTGCAAATAGCGATTCATAAGAATAGAGGTTCTTAAACTGTAATTTGTCCCTTAATCCTCACTCGGATGGTGGGAGATTATTATATTCTCTCACTCCTTCCTCTCTCTGGTTTAATGTGGGCACAAAGAGGACGATGAGGCGGCAGTGGCAGAGGATTATGAAAGGGAAGATGATGCACCTCTTAATAACCCTTCTTCCTCGTCAATTTAGATTCACAAATCTCTAGAATTAAGTGGGCGGTGTTACGCGGAAGATTCTAGAGAATTCTAGAAGGATGTAGGTACATGCATGCATCTTGCAATTCATGCACCAATGTACATACATCCCCCTTTCCTACTCTTTATTCATGCACCTTATTAATTACATTCATGTATGGGGCTAGTTCATGTATGGGGGGACTTCTAGGTTCGTTCATTTATGACGGCCATGTACATTGTACTTAGTGGAGAGGAGGCCTATATAAGGAGTCCTCTCCATCACTTTTCATTCATCCAGAAATAAGAGAGCTTTCCATCTCTAGAGAATTTCCCAACTTGTGAGTTTGAGTGAATACGAGCAAGGCTGACTTAGTGCTCTAACGAGACTTGAGTGCTAAGTGCCGCACGGCCAAGAGTTGGTCCGTGACAAGTGGTATCAGAGCCAAGGTCGTAGCTCAGCAAGTGAGAAAGAACCTCGAGGAGATGGCTGGATCCGGAAGCGAAGTTCACAACAATGAGGAACAACGCGGTCGTGAGGAGAAAAAGGATCCAAACAACAAGAAGAATCGTGATAGATCAACTCGAGAGCCTATGGTGGCAATCGAGGAGAGGCTCAAAAGAGCGGAGACGAAGATTGCCAAGCATACAACCATGTTCGAGGACATGGAGTCGAAATTCGATCAAGTCAGCGGAGAGGTGCAGACTTCGAAGGACGACATGCAAGGCATGGGCACTCGAATGTCAGGCTTGGAGGTGGGGTTAGAAGCTTTCAGAGACGAGTTTGTGACCATCATCACCAACGCCATCGACTCCTTGAGGGAGACTGTTCGAGGCCAGGTGGACGAAGTGAGGGAAGAATTTGACGAGCTTCGAGGAGAGCTCAATCTCGTCAAACGAGCCGTGGCTAACGGACCTGCCGCGACTCAATCTACTCCACGAGTTGATGTTCCAAGGCCAAAGAACTTCGGTGGGTCAAGGAACGCGAGGGAATTAGAGAATTTCCTATGGAACCTTGAACAGTATTTCAAGGCCTCGGGCATCAATGACAATGAAGTCATGGTGCGCATCGCCTCCCTTTACTTGGTCGACACGGCCATGGTGTGGTGGAGAAGGAGGCAAGGCGACATAGAGAGAGGCACATGTGCGATCGACACATGGGAGGATTTCCGTCAAGAAATCAAGAGGCAGTTCTACCCGGAGAATGTGGAGATGGAGGCTCGTGCAAAGCTTCGACGACTCACCCACACCGGCGGAATTCATGAGTATGTTAAGGAGTTCTCGGAATTGCTACTCGAGATCCCCGATCTGCCGGACAAGGGGGCTTTGTTTGGCTTCCTTTTCGGATTGCAACCTTGGGCAAAGTTGGAGCTCGAGAGGCGTGGAGTACAAGATCTTGCTACTGCCTTAGCAACGGCGGAGGCTCTCACGGAGTACAAGAAGAATGAGAGGCCGAACGAGTCGAAGCACTTGAAGAGCAAAGGAGGAGGAGATCATCAGCAGCACTCCAAAGAAGGAAGAGGCTCGTACCAACATGGAGGCTCGAGCAAGGGGGCAAGATCTGATAACTTTGACAAACCCATGTCTTGTTTTCTTTGCAACGGTCCACATAAGGTGCGAGATTGCCCAAAGAAGAGCAAGCTAGCAGCCTTGGAGAAACAAGAAGGGGAGACCAAGGAGAATGCTAGGGAAGACGAAGGGAAGATAGGCTCCATGCGGAGGCTAGGCGCGGCGAAGTCCGGCACCAACGAAGTTAGCAAGGGGAGATTCTTTGTGATCACCCAATTCGAGGGAGGCGAGTCAAAATCATTGGTTGACACCGGTGCGACCGACAACTTCCTTCGAGTGGAGGAGGCGGAGCGCTTGGGGATCTCTTATGAGAAGAGGCAAGGATCGCTCAAGACCGTCAACTCCGAGGCAATACCCATCCATGGTGTTGCCAAGAACGTGCCTTTGAAGATCGAAGGTTGGGAAGGTGCTGCCGACTTTAGCGTCATCACTATGGACGACCATCCGGTCATTCTTGGCGTCAAATTCATGGAGAAAGAAGGTGCGGTGATGGCAATGAAGTCCAACACTCTTTGCCTTGACAAGGGAGACAAATTTTGCGCGGTGAAGATGTTGCGCGAAGAAGGGCCGAAGAGAGCTTTATCGGCCATGCAATTGGTGAAGGGAATGAAGAGGATGGAACCCACGTTCCTTGTCACTTTGCGAGCGAAGGAAGAAGGAGGCTCAGTGGCGCCAACACCTCTCATCGAAGGCGTGTTGGATGAGTTCGTGGATGTGATGCCAAAGGAACTACCAAAGAAGCTCCCGCCAAGAAGAGAAGTCGATCACAAGATCGAGCTTGAGCAAGGGGCGACGCCACCAGCGAGAGCACCTTATCGCATGGCCCCTCCCGAGTTGGAGGAATTGAGGAAGCAACTCAAGGAGTTGATGGATGTTGGCTTCATCCAATCGTCGAAATCCCCCTATGGAGCACCCGTTTTGTTCCAGAAGAAGAAAGATGGTTCGTTGCGGATGTGCATCGATTATCGAGCTATTAACAAGCTCACGGTGAAGAACAAGTGGCCGATCCCCAATATTGGCGACTTGTTTGATTAACTCGGAGAAGCAAAGTGGTTCACGAAGCTTGATCTTCGCTCGGGGTACTATCAAGTGAGGATAGCCGAGGGGGACGAGGCGAAGACGGCATGCGTGACGAGGTATGGCTCATATGAGTTCTTAGTTATGCCTTTTGGTCTAACCAATGCTCCTGCTACTTTTTGCACCTTGATGAACCAAGTATTCGAGCCGTTCTTGGATCGCTTCGTGGTGGTTTACTTGGATGACATCGTGGTGTACAGCAACACACTCGATGAACATGCCGAGCACTTGTGACAAGTGTTTCAAGTCCTTCGAGACAACGAGCTCTACGTCAAGAAGAAGAAGTGCACGTTTGCAGCCGCGGAGGTTC